AAGAAGCACCTGGCTCCTGGCTTCAGACTGGTGCGGCACCGGCTGTGGCAGCCATTTGGGGAGTGAACCAACGGAAGGAAGACCTTTCTCTCTGTCTGTCTCTCTCACTGTCTATAACTCTACCTGTCAAATAAATAAATAAAAATAAATAAGGAAAGAAAGAGAGAGAATCTTCCTTCCACGCAAATGGTTGCAATGGCTGGGTCTGGGACAGGACAAAGCCAGGAGCTAGGAACTCCATCTGAATCTCCCACGTGGATTGGTTGGAGCCCAAGCATTTGGCCTTCTTCTATTGCTTTCCCAGGCATATTAGCAGGGATCTGAATCAAAAGCAGAACTGTTGGGACTTGGTCAGGCACTCCAAAATGGGATGCCGATATTACAAATTGCAGCTTATCCCACTGTGCCACATTGCCATCTCCATGACCTACTTTTTAAAAACTACGTAATTATAAAATAAACTGGCTGTTGGATTCTACACTTATTATGACGACCTTATTCCATCATGTGACTAACTCTTACAGGAAATAGCATGTGACATTGCAGCATGGGCTTTAAAGGGAAAACTAGTTATATGTTCAGGTCCAGTTTATGCAGGTTGTACAATAGATACAGGGTGCATGTCTGGTATTGGATTGGACAGCTGAGATGTATAAAGAATATGACTTGTTAGTGACAAAGTAAATGGGTAGGAAGTTGTAAGGAATGCTGTTAAGACATGGAAGATTGTCGAGGACCAAGTTGTTAGGAGAGATTCATTTATTTCTCTCCGTATAAACAAAAAGGAAGACAAATAAGTAGAGAATGGAGAAGAGAGATACAGGTAGACCTGTGTACCAGAAACAGGAGCCATTGTGATGAGTTCCTGGTTGCCTGGGTTATGCAAAGCCAAGGCTTTTATTATGTGAGCAATGTGAAGATGCTTCCTAGAAAATGTTCTCATCTACAAAGAGCAGTGTGGGTGAAGGTAGACATTTGGTTTTCTTATTGACACATCATTCCACAGAGAAAATCAAATAGTTGTTTCTGTGTGATATGGTGGACACTAAGAAGTTAATTTCAGGCTTATGCTAAATTCTTTTCCATAGAGATCAGTGTTTATGTGAGGCTGTGTTGTGCTGACTATTCAAAGCCTAACAACCAACTTGAAATCTTGAGCATTGCCTTGAAAAAACATACTAAATCGCAGCTAGTGTAATTGGTAACTAAAAAATTGATAATTATAATGGATAGTACTTGTGGTAGCAGGTTAATGGCCCTTCACAGATGTTTATGCCCTATTAGAGGTGTTGTAACTGTGTATGCTGTCACATGGCAAAAGGGGAGTGTGCAGAGACCCCAAATGTATTCAATTTTTGTGTATCAGTTAAAAGATTATTAAAAAAATAAAAAAGATTAAGGCTATGGACTTTAAACTGGGGAAGTCCTTCTGGGTTATGTGGATGGATCCAATGCAATCACATGGGTCCTTGAGATTCAGAAACAGTGGCAGCAAAAGACAGCAGGGGGAGATTTGAACTGTGATATGGACTCCAGTTGCCTTACTGACTCTGAAGATGGTGGAAGGGGCCATGAGCCAAGGAGTATAAGAAACTTCCTCTGACAGCCAACACTCGGAAAGGAAATGGGAATCCCAGTTCCACAACTGCAAGAAGCTGACTCTGCCAACAACCAGAATGAGCAAGGAAGTGGCTTCTCCCCACAGGCTCCCTAAGGGGAAGAAACCCTGCTTGTCCCTAGAATTTAGGCTTTAGCAGTCAAAAAGACAAACTTGGCAACTTAAATTTATCTTCTCAGAGTTTTTGTAATTCAGAAGTCTGGTGGGCTCTGCTGGACCCCTACTAATAGACTCCCAAGGCCAAAATCTAGGGCTAAAAAGACAAATACCATATGTTTCTTCTGATCTGTGGTAACCAATAGGGTATCAAAAAATGTAATGTATAGGAGTGAAATTGACATTTTCAGATTTGATGGTTGTTTATAGCCCTTGACTCTACTGTTGAGGAACAGTTTTTTTTTCTTCTTACTATTTGTAAGTGTAGGATTAATCTTATGAGTATGAAGGAAACTAAAAGTAGATCATTTTAAAAATTAAGAGAGGGAATAGGGAGGAATGGTGGGAGTGTAGGCATCACGGCGGGTAGGGTGAGAGGTATCACTATGTTCCTAAAAATGTATATATGAAATTTGTTTACCTGAAGTAAAAATAAATAAAAAAGTTGCTAAGCTTTTGGCAAGTTGTTATAGCAGTAATAGAAAATGAAAACAGCATTCATTGAGAGTTTCTGTCTTTGGGAACTTGAGGTAAGACATGGCTGGTGGGCTCTCTTCCTAGAAGTTCAATGCATAGCTAATGGAGAGGAGTCTTAAAGAGCACAGTTTTAACAAGGAGTATTATGTGAAGCCCCTACCAAGTGCTAGTTTCTGTTCTAAGAATGTGGCTAAAGCAGGAGACAAAGTGAACAAAAACCTCCATGTTCAATATTCTTAAATCCCGTGGCTTAATGAAACAATGAAGAAATTACAATCTTAGAAGATGAAGACAAAGGGATAGGGTAGGGAGTGTTTCAGGATGCCATTTTATTTATTTATTTATTTTTAAAGATTTTATTTATTTTATTTGAGAGGTAGAGTTACAGACAGTGAGAGGGAGAGACAGAGAGAAAGGTCTTCCTTCCGTTGGTTCACTCCCCAGATGTCTACAATGGCTGAAGCTACATCAATCGAAGCCAGGAGCCAGGCGCTTCTTCCTGGTCTCCCACGTGGATGCAGGGGCCCAAGGACTTGGGCCATCTTCTACTGCTTTCCCAGGCCATAGCACAGAGCTGGATTAGAAGTGGAGCAGCCGGGAATAGAACCGGCTCCCAAATGGGATGCCGATGCCACAGGTGGAGGATTAACCTACTGCACCAGAGCGCTGGCCCCTCAGGATGCCATTTTAAATGGGAAGAGTTTATTTAGAAGTTGACATTTGAGTGAAATTTTGAGGGATATGAGGGAATAAGCCTTGGGGCTCTCTGGGGAAATGGCATTGATATCCAGGAACTGCATGTAGACCCCTGGGTGGTAATGAGAACTATAGTCAGTGAGACAAGCTGGGGAAGAGAGCAGAGTGTGTAGGGCCTTCAGACATGGCAAAGATTAGGCTTTTGCTCAAGAGTGAGATGGGTAAGAATTTGGACCATGGTATTAAGAATAAAGGAGGGGTTGTTGCTGTGGCATGGTCGGTAAAGCTGCCGCCTGCAGTGCGGACATCCCATATGAGTGCTGGTTCGAGTCCTGCTTGCTTCACTTCTGATCCAGCTCTCTGCTATGGCCTGGGAAAGCAGTAGAAGATGGCCCAAGACCTTGGGCTCCTGCACCCGCGTGGGAGACCTGGAAGAAGTGCCAGGCTCCTGGCTTTGGATTGGCACAGCTCCAGCCATTGTGGTCATTTGGAGAGTGAACCAAGCAGATGGAAAACCTTTCTATCTCTCTCTCTGCCTTTGCCTTTGTAACACTGCCTTTCAAATAAATAAATAAATTGTTAAAAGAATAAAGGAGAGGAGGATGTGAACCCCTGTTCATAGTGCACTAGTTATTGACTTAGGTCTGAGTCCAGAAAGAAAGACTGCACTTAAGTATACACAAATTGCATGAAATGGGTTTGTTATTTACAGGTAGGCAGCAAGGGACAACTGAAGCTTAGGAATCATTACAAGTCCTTCTTCCAGGAATCAGCAAAGTTTCCAGGAGTGGATGGAATCTCAACTGCACATGACCCACTTGTACCACATGTGAAAGATATCAGCAAACAGGCCACCTTGGTTTATATGTCTCAGGGAACACATGACTGACTGGGCGGCTAAACTGGTCAAAGACACCTGTTTCTGGGAGGGAGTGGAACCGAGCCCAGGCTGTCCTATACATTTCCATTCCTTAGGTGTGGATGTTGCATTTCCAACACGTTCTAGAGTTATTCTCGAGAAATGCAGTAAAGGGGGTATGGAGAATTGGGCTGGTTCAAAGCCATTCAGAAAACTGTCCTGCACAGGGCAAGAACAGAATCAGGAAGCACAGTTGGAGACTATTGCAGTAATTCAGGAGGGACATGAGGTGACTTGGATCATCATATGGCAGTGGAGGCTGTGAGAAGTGATGGGAATCAGTAATATCTTGAAGAAAGTAGAGCTTATAAGAATTTTGTTTGAGATGAACATAAGACTAAAAGAAATTATTAAAATTATTAGTAAAAAGAGTTGATTCTTGTAGGTTATTAGGTTATCTGTGAAGTGTAATCTCTTTTATGTGTGTTTTATTTTTAACAGCGATTTAAAAAGATCTTGGGTAAAAATAGAGCTACAATATTATTATGGGAAGAAATTAGCTATAGAAGTTCCCAGCTTCTAATGTTTCTGATGTACTATTTGCTTTAACTATCATAACTAATATATTGGAAAAATTTGAACTTTAAAATTTATGCAAGTAAAATATTCTTACAAATGACCTTTGATGAGGCTAGGTAGAAGAATTTTGGGGCATTTACATCTTTTTTTAAAAATTTATTTATTTATTTGAAAGACAGAGTTATAGGGAGACAGAATCAGAGAGAGAGAGAGAGAGAGAGAGAGAGGTCTTTCTTCCACTGGTTCACTCCCCAGATGGCTGCAACAGCCAGAGCTGAGCTGATCTGAAGCCAGGGGCTTGGATTTTTCATGTGGGTGCAGGGGCCCAAGGATTTGGCCATCTTCTACTGCTTTCCCAGGCCACAATAGAGAGCTGGATCAAAAGTGGAGCATCTGGAACTTGAACCAGTGCCCGTATGGAACAATGGCACCTGCTTTGCCACAGGGCCTCAGAGCATTTACATCTTAACTACCTTATTCGAGTTTCTCAGACAAAAAAAAAATGTTTTACATTTTGCCATAGGCAGTGTCTTGAAATTTTGTATTTTGAATGCATTTGTTTTGTTTCCAGCTGCATTTTTCTTTATTTATTTGCTTTTTAATTTTTTTTGTCAGAAGGTAATTGCTTCCCAGAATGGGATGGACTCATTTGTTGGCCCAGAGGAACAGTGGGGAAAATATCAGCTGTCCCATGCCCTTCTTATATTTTTGACTTCAATCATAAAGGTATTAAATTTTTCTGAAATGATTAATTTGAAAGAGAAACGTACTTGTCTTTTTATGATGTTGTTGTAGTCTCTAAGGGGACTAAGTAATCTCAGTGTCTTTCATGTCCCTATAGGAGTTGCTTTCCGACACTGTAACCCCAATGGAACATGGGATTTTGTGCATAGCTTAAATAAAACATGGTCCAATTATTCAGACTGCCTTCGCTTTATGCAGCCCGATATCAGCAAACGAAAGGTAATGAAATTTTTGTGTTTATGAGCCCTAAGGAATAATATTTATGCAATTGTTGATTGCCAATCATTATAAATAGAAATGCTTGCATTCTTTGTCACAAAAGTCATTAAAGATAAAAACAATGTTGGAATCTTTCAGATGCATCTGAAACATCCTGGTATTTTACTTAGTTTAGTTACGTGGCTGAGATACAGTCATATATACTTATAAATATGTATATTATGTTATATTTATATTATATTTAATTACATACAAATATAAAAACCTCAGTCACGAGTCTGCATGATTCATGATTTCTTCTTAGCGAATGGCTACATCTTGTCTCATTCTATGTTCCTGAAGGATTGTGCATTTTACATATAAAATGCTTCAAAAATACTTTTTATCTCGTTGGCAATAGTAAACATTCACCGATATTTAGTGTACTCTCTGATGACCTTTATTTGTAATTTCAATGTTGGCAAGTACAAGGTGAGCATTTGACCTAGTGGTTAGGAAGCCTGTGTCTCACATTGGAAGGCCTGAGTTTGATACCAAGCTCTGCTCCTGACTTCGTTTCCTGCTAATGTGAGCCCTTGGGGGCAATGTTGATGGCTTAGGTAGTTGTGTCCCTGCCCTCAGCAGGGGAGACCAATATTGAGTTTCCCAGCCCTTGGCATTGGCCACTTGTCCTTGGCCCTTTGATGTGGGTATTTGTGGCCTGAACCAGTGGATGGCACTCTGTCTCTTTCTGTTTGTTTGTCTGTCTCTGCCTCTCGAATAAATAATTAAAACATTTAAAAAATGACAAATGCAAATTTTTCACAGCTTTTAGATAATCATTAAATTAAGTCATGCTTTTATTTACCCTGAACTATAACCATTTTTATTTTATTTTATTTTATTTTTTTCTCAGTTTAATACTTTATTTTTTAATCATATTAAACAAAAGCAACGGAAATACCAAGTTAATTTTAAGGGCAAATCCTAGAGAAAAAAAATACAAATGGTGGTGCTTTTATAATAGATCATTATATTTTACACAATATAAACAAAACACTAATGGATCCAGATGCTTAGTTTCCTTGAACTACAATGAACTACAGAATGAGTGAAACAGGTTTACATCTGAGTCGAAAACAAACATCTTGGGAAAACATGTGCTACATAACCATTTTTATTAAAGATTATTTATTTGAAAGGCAAATTTATGGAGGGAGAGGGAGTGTGGGAAAGTGGGAGAGGAGAGAGAGAGAGAGAGAGAGAGAGAGAGTGGTGAGAGAGAGAGAAAGAAAAAGAGAGAGATCTTCATCCACTGGTTCACTCCCCAAATGGCCATAATGGCCAGGGTTGGGCCAGGCTGAAGCTAGGAGCCAGGAGCTTTTTCTGGGTCTCCCATGTGGTTACAGGGGCTGAAGGACTTGGGCCATCTTCTGCTGCTTTCCCAGGCATATTAGCAGGGAGCTGGATGGGAAGTGGAGCAACTGGAACTTGAACCAGCACCCAAATAGGATGCCATCACTGCAGATGTAGATTTACCTTTCATGACACAGCAATGGCCCCAAATTGTAATCTTTTATTTATTTATATTTTAATTTTGTTTAAGGTGTACAAATTTCATGTATTTCCCATATACAGATTCAGGAACATAAGAATACTTCCCATTCATCCCTCTCTCTTGCCCTCACTCCCACACTTCTTTGTCTTCCTTCTCCTATTCCCAGTCTTAATTATTACAAAGATATATTTTCAGTTAACTTTATTTTTTTAAAGATTTATTTATTTACTTGAAAGTCAGAGTTACACAAAGAGAGAAGGAGAGGAAGAGAGAGAGAGTGGTCTTCCATCCGCTGGTTCATTCCCCAATTGGCTGCAATGGCCAGAGCTGTGCCGATCTGAAGCCAGGAGCCAGGAGCCTCCTCTGGGTCTCCCACATGGGTGCAGAGGCCCAAGGACTTGGGCCATCCTCCACTGCACTTCCGGGTCTATTCAAGAGAAAGTTCTATTTTCTGATGAAAAGGATGTGTATTCTGCAACTGTAGGATGAAATGTTCTAGCAGTTAGGTCAATTTGGTCTATGGTGTTGATTAGCTTTGTTGTTTGTTGATTTTCTGTCTGGTTGATCTGTCCATTGATGAAAGTGGGGTGTTGAAGTCCCCTATTACTATTGTGTTGGAATCTATATCTCTCCTTAGAATCATTAACATTTATTTTAAATAGACAGGCACCCTGTATTTGGGTGAATAGATTTAGTATAGTCACATCTGCTGTTGAATGATCCCTTAATTATTATGTAGTGGCCTTCTTTGTCTCTTTAAACAGTTTTTGTGTTAAATCCTATTTTGTCTGATATTAGGATGGCTACACAAGCTCTTTTAGGCTTTTAATTAGCATGGACTATCTTTTCCCCATCCTTTCATTTTCAGTCTGCGTATATTTTTATTGATGAGATGTGCTTCTTATAGAAATATATTTTTTGTAGGAAAATGTTTCTTATATGCAGATTTTTAAAATCCATTCAGCCATTCTGTATCTTTTAACTGGAGAGTTTAGGCCATTTACATTGAAGATTACTATTGCTAAATAATGACTTGGCACTGCCATTTTTCCATAAATATTCCTATGTTTACTTTGAATGTCCTTTGTACTTTTACTTGGAGATTTTCTGCCTTCACATTCTTTCAGAGTGACGATTGTATGCCTGCACTTTTGTGTTTAGCAGATCATAAAGCATCTTTTGTTAGATGAGTGGTGACACATTTTTTCAATTTCTGTTTGTTATGGAAGGTCTTTATTTCACCTTCATTCATGAATGAGAGGTTTGCTGGTATAGTATTCTGGGTTGACAGTTTTTTTCTCTTAAGACTTAAGGCTGTTTTGATTATAACTGTTGTGTAGTATGTCTTAAAATTTGATATTGTGATGCTTCTGGCTTTGTCTTTGTTGTTTTGGATTGCTTTAACTATTCAGGGTCTCTTTTGTTTCCATGTGAATTATCTTATCATTTTTTCTAGATCTGAGAGGAATGTCATTGGTATTTTGATTGAGATAACACTGAATCTGTAAATTGCTTTGGGTAATATGGACATTTTGATGTTATTTATTCTTCCAATCTATGAATATGAAAGATTTTTCTTTTTTGTGTCTTCTTCTATTTATTTCTGGAGTTTGATATTTTGCAAGTAGCATACTGTAAAAATTACCATGTATATCCCATGACTAAAGGCATTTTTGTACTGCAATTTATTAATATATAATAAGAATGTTTGAAGAACTCATATTCTTTAGTCTTAATCTAAGATTGAGCATAACGATTTGGAGTGGGGAAACTGAATGTAAGAAATGTTCATTGAACAATTAATTATTTCCATGACTATTGTGAAGACTTTAAATTTCCAATGAAGAAGCCGGCGCCGAGGCTCAATAGGCTAATCCTCTGCCTGCGGCGCTGGCGCACCGGGTTCTAGTCCCGGTCAGGGCTCTGGATTCTGTCCTGGTTGCCCCTCTTCCAGGCCAGCTCTCTGCTGTGGCCAGGGAGTGCAGTGGAGGATGGCCCAAGTACTTGGGCCTTGCACCCCATGGGAGACCAGGAGAAGCACCTGGCTCCTGCCTTAGGATCAGCACGGTGCGCTGGCCGCAGCACGCCAGCCGCTGCGACCATTGGAGGGTGAACCAACGGCAAAGGAAGACCTTTCTCTCTGTCTCTCTCTCTCTCTCACTATCCACTCTGCCTGTCCAAAAAAAAAAAAAACAGAAAACAAAAAAAAAACACAACTAACCAACCAACCAAACAAAATTTCCAATGAAGAACTGATGAAGAAAGCTCAATTACATATTTTTAAAAACAGCTTGCAACCTCAGGAAATTCTTTTGTCTTATAGTTAACTGAAAAAATCAATTAATAAACTTGTATATACATTGAGAATACATATGCTTAAAACAATGCAAAATGATGCATAGAAACAGACTGAAAAGATATATATCAGATACTAACAATGTTTCATTTGGAGATTTTTT